CTGGGCCAGGTTTTCATCTGTAGTGAAAACTCCGATTCATCAGTTATAACTCGGATGCTGAGCCAGTAATACATGTATTCTGAATTAGCCCCATCCCTCACACAAAACAAGTCAACAAAGAGGCATCTTTGGATTGAGGAGTGCTGGTTTCGAAACAACTGGTTTGAAGCTCAAAGTAGAGCTGGTGTTAGCTCAGAGCAGAGCTGCTGTTAGCTCAGAGCAGAGCTGCTGTTAGCTCAGAGCAGAGCTGCTGTTAGCTCAAAGTAGAGCTGCTGTTAGCTCAAAGTAGATCTGCGGTTAGCTCAAAGTAGAGCTGCTGTTAGCTCAAAGTAGAGCTGCTGTTAGCTCAAAGTAGAGCTGCGGTTAGCTCAAAGTAGAGCTGCTGTTAGCTCAAAGTAGAGCTGCTGTTAGCTCAAAGTAGAGCTGCTGTTAGCTCAAGGTAGAGCTGCTGTTAGCTCAAAGTAGAGCTGCTGTTAGCTCAAAGTAGAGCTGCGGTTAGCTCAAAGTAGAGCTGCGGTTAGCTCAAAGTAGAGCTGCGGTTAGCTCAAAGTAGAGCTGCTGTTAGCTCAAAGTAGAGCTGCGGTTAGCTCAAAGTAGAGCTGCTGTTAGCTCAAAGTAGAGCTGCTGTTAGCTCAAAGTAGAGCTGCTGTTAGCTCAACGTAGAGCTGCAATGCTAAATGGATGTAATATAGCGCAAGGCAGAGCCGCAGCAAATAGCTAGATAACACCATTTGTGAGAGTGGACCCGATTAGTGGGTACGATAATTATGATGGTGTGAATAAGTTGGATAGGGAGGGATGGTGGGAAAAGAAACACTGCTGAAGCACGATCCGTTGTCTGGAAGAGCACAACAGGGCAAGCAAGATTTGTTTTTCTTTTCCGCAAAATGGGCTGGTGCCTTTTGTGATTACGCAGCAAAACAAAGCGCATGACGTCAGTCTTGAATGCAGTACAAAGCAATGCAGTGCAGTGTGTGCGCTAGTTCGGATTGTTGCTAACAAGTACTAGCACAGCTAGGACACCATTAGCCCCATCCCTCACACAAAACAAGTCAACAAAGAGGCATCTTTGGATTGAGGAGTGCTGGTTTCGAAACAACTGGTTTGAAGCTCAAAGTAGAGCTGGTGTTAGCTCAGAGCAGAGCTGCTGTTAGCTCAGAGCAGAGCTGCTGTTAGCTCAGAGCAGAGCTGCTGTTAGCTCAAAGTAGAGCTGCTGTTAGCTCAAAGTAGAGCTGCGGTTAGCTCAAAGTAGAGCTGCTGTTAGCTCAAAGTAGAGCTGCTGTTAGCTCAAAGTAGAGCTGCGGTTAGCTCAAAGTAGAGCTGCTGTTAGCTCAAAGTAGAGCTGCTGTTAGCTCAAGGTAGAGCTGCTGTTAGCTCAAAGTAGAGCTGCTGTTAGCTCAAAGTAGAGCTGCGGTTAGCTCAAAGTAGAGCTGCGGTTAGCTCAAAGTAGAGCTGCGGTTAGCTCAAAGTAGAGCTGCTGTTAGCTCAAAGTAGAGCTGCGGTTAGCTCAAAGTAGAGCTGCTGTTAGCTCAAAGTAGAGCTGCTGTTAGCTCAAAGTAGAGCTGCTGTTAGCTCAACGTAGAGCTGCAATGCTAAATGGATGTAATATAGCGCAAGGCAGAGCCGCAGCAAATAGCTAGATAACACCAGTTGTGAGAGTGGACCCATGAAACCAGCACTCCGTTAGCTAAGCACTATTGACGCACAGCAAGGGTCAATTATGTCAGCACAGGCAAGCATTGCGCAGCTAGAGTTCAGTAGCTCATTACTCACCCGAGTTGGGGATCATGGCATCCATGGCACGGCAGCAAGCCGGGACGATAGCTGGCGCTTAGCGCTTGTTGTAGTCCGGATGTAGCATAGACACGCATCGCTCTTTTCACTGACCTACCACTCGGAAGAAGGAGTCGGGGCACTAGCCATAGCAGCGGTGGTGGCTGCACCAATGTGGACCGAATGCCCGGAGTAGTTCGACTGGGATGGTACACCGGCCGCAGCGACAAGAGACCATACTGTTACTGTGAATGACTGCCTGGTCAGCTGCTGTCTGTTCGAGAGTACGAACAAGAGTTGCTCTGGTCCCTCGCGACGAGTGACAAATGGGTAGCTAACAATGGCACGGACCGGGCAGTACGGCGGTACAGACGGGCCAATGTCACTAGTAACGCCTTTACCGAATGGGTCCGTCTTGGATGAAAGCAGGAAGAGTTGCAGGTGTCCGTCACCAGGGGAGCTAGTACAGCCCCGTGTGATGCCATTAGTGAATTCAGCACACCGAAGAAATCCAAAGAAGCAGCATGGCGGCTTGGTAGAGCAGCTTGTCATGGCCATTCAGGATACTACTTTTCCGGCGTGCATCCGTCAGGTGTCGTAGGATTGGCATAGTTATAGGAAGGCGAGGGGTGAGTACAGCTGTACCATGGCATCGCTGGATGCCCTTCAACACCCTCTCCAGAAGCCACGCATCTACTAAGGGGCCGGCAAACCCATTCTCAAGGTGGGCTTTATGCACCGCACTCGCATACACAGATACAGTTCAAGGCACGCTGATCATAGTTCACGCATGAATGTGTGTCCAGGAACGATGACTCGGGCAGCAAAAGTGAGCTTCCCCAGGAGGGACTCGAGTTGACGCTGGCCGATGCTGCGCTCGCTGATAGTAGCCATGAGTGGCGCACGGATCTCGGACAGCTTGTCCTCTGGTAGCCGCAGTCTAGGAAAATACCAAGGAAGGTCAATGATGGTGATGGCCCTTCGAGCTGGGATGGAGGAAAGAGGAGTGCCGAGATACGTGAATGCCCGGAGGGGGATGGTGAGTTGCTGGTTGGCTGCAGCCGAACCAGTGGAGATATCGAGAAAGTCATCGAGGTAATGAAGCCGGTGATCTATAGCAAACTTGTGCTGCATGATCCAGTTGACTGCTGTGGCTACTGAGTCAAAGACGGCTGGGCTGGAGCGGAGGCCGAAAGGCAGAAAGCGCTCGTAGTAGTAGGAGCCTTCCCAGCGAAGTCCTGACGGCGGACTGGGATCTGCCGAAATGCACTGCGTACATCGAGCTTGGACAAATACACAGGCTGTGGGCATGACATGATGATGTTGATCGCGTTGTCAATGCTCGCGTGGTGCAGAGAGAGTGGCTCGGCAGGAATGCTGTCGTTCGCGCCGGTGCCTTCCGGACTAGACAGATGGTGGATCATTCGCAGCTTGCCGTTCTTTTTGGGGATGGCACCAATACCAGAGCGGCGCATGAACTGAAATGGAGGTGACGGAAATGGGCCTGTGGTCTCGCTGCGGGCGCAGGAAGCAGCTAATTGCTCGGATATAAATGCCGAGTGAGTGAAAGCCAAGGGTAGATTATTAGAGAAAACCGAAATGTCGTGTTGGCCGGCAGATCCAAGAGTAAAGCTGCGGCGCAGGCCATGGAGAACATACACAACACATTATTGATATGAGTGGTTACGTAACAGGCGGGCAAAGTGGTCAGCTAGCAGTGTGGTGTCTGCAGAGTGTATAGGAAAGAAGCTACGTACCGAGTCAAGCTATTCAGTAGCCATTCTGCTAGGGGCGGCGGGGTGGCCGATTGGCTCCGCGCTGCTGCTGGTTGCACATGATGCATGGGTGGTCCTTGCCACACTGGCTGCAGGTGTGGGAGAAGCGGCACGACGACGAAGAACAGCGACCTTCATTGAAGTTGCGGCAGATTTCTTGGCCGTCGCTGGTATGGTTGCGACCACTGGAGGTAAATGCTGCTGGCTTGGGGACGAAAAGGACACAAACCGCCCCTGGATGGGCCGTCTTACATTGAGCGCATTTTGGGTGTGCATGGCCTGTGACAGCTATCTGCCATAGGTTCACGTCGATGGTGTCCAACCTCTTCGTGCCTGGTTACTGGGCCACAAGCAGCCGCAGCTGGCGGTCGTACTCTAGCCACGCGCTTGGGAAGAACTGGCGGTTAGCAGTCAGGATCAACTGCTGGTACGCAATCAGTTCAGCAGTTCAGCAGTGCGGTGTAGGGCAGCAGCCGTGATAACAGACATGTATGTGGTCCATGCCTCGAGCCGGGTAGCTACATGTATAATTATCGTGAACCTTGCGACGCACCTGCTTCGCGTACGGTCATCCGACTCAACGATATTTAGCTGGCTATCGTTATTCGGGCTGTGCACCAGCCGGAATGTTGGGCCGGAAGTGTGCAAGAATTTCAGGCAACAAACTTGAAAAATCTACGAACTCCCCTCGCAAGATACGTTCTTGCACAGCCTTGGGCACAGCTGGTGCAAGTGGCTGATCGGGTGGGTTACAGGAGCTTGGCCTGGCGTAGTGGCGGCAGCAGCCGCATTGCCTTGGCCTTGGGTGAGGAGCGGCACAATGCTATCCGATAATAATAAAATGGCGGCCGACAAAGCCGACTACACCTCGTCACGTAGATCTACGGGAGCGCAGAGATCCGTTGAGCCCGCGTCACCTGAGCTGGCGGAGGAGGCATTGGTGCAAGTCGGGCTTCTGGGCTCGCGAGCCGTGTCCGCACTGTCATGTTGCTGGTTCTCCTGGCCGGAGCAGACCTCACTACCAAGGGCTAGTTGTGCCAGCAAACGGTCCTGTAAAATACTTTTACTAAGTTTCCTTTCGGATTCAAGCCGCGCTGAGAAGGCTCGCCGCGGGGGCTTGGCAAGGCATTGCCTTGACAGTGTCGACAGTTAGGTCAGACGTACTGAAGAAATACAGTGTCGAGGTGACACTCGGGCTGGCAGAAAAGCTACGAAAGGAAAAGAAACACTGCTGAAGCACGATCCGTTGTCTGGAAGAGCACAACAGGGCAAGCAAGATTTGTTTTTCTTTTCCGCAAAATGGGCTGGTGCCTTTTGTGATTACGCAGCAAAACAAAGCGCATGACGTCAGTCTTGAATGCAGTACAAAGCAATGCAGTGCAGTGTGTGCGCTAGTTCGGATTGTTGCTAACAAGTACTAGCACAGCTAGGACACCATTTAAATAGCGGAAAACACACGAGGACAAGTTATGAAGCAACTATCCACGACTGTAACAAGATATAAAGCAGTCATAAAGTGCGATAACAGGGCACACCACTACAAACCTACTGAGACATGCAACGACTTGATTGACGAGAAGAACATGAAGCTCACCAAACTAGCGCACAGAATTCATGCGAACACTAAATTACACGTGACTATAAACACGATGATGCAAGTGTATATGTACGTCATCAGTGCCGAAACCTGTGATACTTCAGGTGTCTTTTTATCAGGTATTGAAAAGAGAATTGAATAGAGTGAACGGAATATTATATTATGATAATGGTGTGATGTCTTACTTGGTGCAAACCGTGCACGTCACTTCCTTGTTGGTGTCGTAGCTGCTGGGGATATCTGTCGTGTCACCTGTTTCAACAAAGTAAATGATTGCTCCGTTGACGTTTTCCTGTGTGTTCGGCACAGCCTGCGGATCACTATCCATACAGATATACTCTGTACGATGATGGATACTGGACATGAGGTAACCCCGGTAGTTCACCGTCCAGCCATCCGGACATGATAGCCGGGCTGGAAGCATCAGCTGTGCAGATGTCTCGCATACTGAACAAGCCGGAGTGTGTTGGTACAGTGCCTGGAAGTTTGGCAGCTCTGAAAAGTCAGTTTGGAATTCACTCGAATGCAGCCTATTGCCCTGGGATCCAGGGACGAACGCACTGTATTCCGGTTCAAACGGCAGACATTGGTAGTCGCTGCCCCCTCCTATGGTCGAAAAGAATGGACCTGCCATGATACCGCTGTAAAGGGTTAGCGAAGAGTTGCAAGCTTGCCGGCCCCAATGCGTGTAGGTTGTTTTTGCTCGCTCCACCTGATTCGTGAGATTCACCTGGGAGCTCTCCAAGTTGCTGATCAGAACGGTTGTAGTCTTCATTTGCTCTGAAAGGGCACTCATGTTTCCCTGGAGAATTTGCAGACCATTGCTCGCGCTTGAAGCCGCTTCTTCTAAGATCTTCACATTCTCTGCGGCCGTATTGAGCTTGCTTGAAACGTTGATGAGCTGCCCTGCGACAGTATTTTCTAGGCTGCTCAACCGCACAGTTTCATTGGCTTGTGTCCTTTCCAGAATGCTGAGTCGCTCACCTTGCTGTTGTTGCTGCCCTTCCAGGTTGTCGAGACGGGCGGACACATTTGGTCCTGGCCCTTCCAAGAGGCTGAGGCGCTCCGAAAGATTAGTCTGTTGCGATTCCAATACGCTAGCCATAGCTGAAACGGCATTAAGTTGCGCAGATAAACCGTCATCGCGCGCGGAGAGCACTGCGGATAGATTAGAAACCTGCTGTATAAGCGCCTGCACAGCGACCTGTAACTGCTCGACTTGAGGAACAGTGGCGAGACTGGGATTAGGATCATCATCACTGGACACAAAGTACTCTCGTCCGTAATACTCGGGTAGGTTTTTACTCTCACAAGCTGGACATGACGAAAAGGCATATATCACCAGCAGTGAAAACAGAGGCGAATTTAGTTTCTGCATTTTCAGATTTGCAGCAAGTATATGTACCCCACGAAACATAGGAGAAAAAGCGTCTAACGTCTACTCGTAGTAACGCGTACGTAATGATTCTACGTTTGCCCATGTGCACGAGATTTTATCCTGTTTTGCCGTGCACATCCGGGCCTGGGACTAAGTGCGTTAAGAGGTGTCTGTAAGTGTATAAAGACACGCCAAGAACACACAGGTACTTAAGGAAGCTCCAACCTTCGGCGCTTCGCAGCCGGTCTGGCGCTCTGTTTTTAGGCAAAAGTCTTGTTTTGCCGATAAGTGCGAAAAGTTGGGAAATTCCCATCTCAACTTACATGTACATGTACAAAAATTTGAACTACGCGATCGACAGTCATATCAGGGAATAGGGCGGATTAGTAAGACGAAATTCGCGTTCGCGTTCGCAAACATTTTTCAGTTCGCGAACTGGATTGCGAACTTTCGCATTTTTCGTTCGGAAAAGTAGTCGGAACACGAATAGCAGATTCGTGTCAGAACAGTCATAAATTTGCTACGCTGTACTGTCTGTACATAATGTACGTCGTGTCAACGTCATGCATGTGCGAATTCTGATTGCTAATCCTTCTCATAACGCGAATTCCGTCACTGAGTTCGACTTTCCTTGGAGAGCGAAGGTTATGCGACAGTTCACAGAATCCAATTTCACAGTGTGACGTTTCACAGATTCCAAACTCACAGAATGACACTTCACAGAGTGCCAGTCTCACAGAATGCACAATTCACCGACACCCAATTCAACGACAACCCAGTTCACAGACTGACTTATTCACAGACAGTCCATTTCGTCGAGAGTGGACAAAAGTGGGAAAATGCGGCTCGATCCTCGTCAGGACGGGTAAGTTTCATCGTGATAAACAATAATATCCACGCCAGAGGTGACATCAACGCATTTAGTTTGAAATTCCCCGGAGTTAAATTAAGTGCACAGGCTGCTTCTTTCATCTCACCCAGATCATTTTATCGTCGTGTCCAGTCAAACGGACTCCAAGAGTGCTACGCACAGGATTCACAATTTGCAATGGCCCTGTAGTATCCCTGACTGTCAGTGATCACACAGCCACATCTCTACCAGTAGTTACATTGTAGTTCACAGGTACATTCTATCTACATATACACACATGTCAGTGCTTCTCACGCGCAACCACGTAGGACTAGATAGCCCTGCTTGCAAGACCGGTACGGCATGACCTATCGCATTCATGCTGTACTAATACATTACATTGATTCCTGTATAGTCTGTTCCCCATCACTGACCCTTTTGATCCCTTGCAAGATGCCTTCCCGGTTCTATGCATCCAACCGCTTTCTTCCCCGAATCCATGTTATTGTTCAGCCCTAGCTCACACACATTCAAATGTCTTTTCCTTAGATCTTCCAACAGTTGTCTTCCTAGTAATCTTTATGCCCCATTACCCTGCCTGCCATTCACATTCGTTTCCTCCGTACTTTTAGATGTAATTCCTATTGCATAAGCGTTGCTCGCCACTTAGGTCCATTCTCATTGACCCTTTTGATCCCTTGCAAGATGCCTTCCCGGTTCTATGCATCCAACAGCTTTCTTCCCCGAATCCATGTTATTGATCAGCCCTAGCTCACACACATTCAAATGTCTTTTCCTTAGATCTTCCAACAGTTGTCTTCCTAACGAAGTAGCCGTGAGGCATCCTGCAGCTTCATAACTCGAAGGGAATTGGTGAGCACACATGCTCATTCCCTGGGCACTGCAAATTCACAACTCATTTCATTTTACAGAATCATTTTCAACGTTTCGGCAAATTGCCATCATCATGATGCAATATGAAGTGGAAGTCTGCCAAGGAGCAGTTATATACACTAATTTGGTGTTCTTACATGTAGGTGTTGATAATAATTATTTCTATGACTACACATGTTACTTCAGTGCTAGAAATATGACATGCCTAAAACTGGTGAAAGATCACAAGTTTTCACTGACTCATATGCTGGGTGTTGGTTAATAAGTTAGCACAGCGCAGATGCCACCAGATGAGAAATGTCTGAACAGGTTTCTCGCAAGCAATACACGAATGTGACCATGTCAGTGTCGCTTGAGACAGAGCACGCACTTTCGCGAAAAGCTCTGGTCATTCTCTCGGGAGGATTACATAAGGATCCGTACCGTGAAGCGTTGCGTAGCCACAGAGGAGCGCATCGATACGAATGCCAGGCTAGCCCGGAAGCTTGGCAAGCTTCGTGCAGAAGCTGGCCAGCAAGAGCATGAAATTACGCAAGCCGCATCACAAGACCAGCTTGGCGCTCGGACCAGTAGTGCGGCGACATGTGATGGATCCAGTATCCAGCGGGCATTGGTTGTGGATGATTGTGCGCCGGACAGCACCAGGCGGATTCTGGAGCTTGGGCCGAGCTTTGTTCCTTCGACAGGCAAGTTTTCGGATCGTGAGCGTTCGGAGGTGATTACGTCTGTCGAGCGGATGGCCTACACGTTGCGCTGGCAGCAAGCCCAGCCTCAAGGGGTGGAGGTTCCAGACAACGAGACTGTTTCTGACACGGTGGGCGACAGAAAACTCTGGAAGCTCAAGCAACGTGGGTTTAAACAACCGCCGAAAATGTGTGACGATGAAGAAAGGAAGCTTGCGAACTTCAAGGACGATGTTCTCGCTGCCTACACCAAACGCAAGCCACCGACGTCTAATATGACCAAGGAGGAACGAGAGGAGCTAGCCAGATTCCGCAAGGACACCAGTGCAGTCATCAAACCGTCAGACAAAAGTAAAAAGTTGGTCGCACTGAAACAAACGCTCTACCTGGAGAAGGCAGACACATTGCTATCAGATAGCGCTATGTACGAAAAGGTTGACCTAACAATAACCGAGTTCGAGACACGGGTGAAAGCTGTCCTTGGGGACAGATGCAAGAACATGGATTCAAAGCTGCTGAATTCGATTCTCCCCAATGATACAAGATTCCCCGAGTTCTATGGTCTCCCAAAGGATCATAAACAGAACCTACCCCTACGACCCGTCGTGTCAGCATGTGATAGTCCTGTCACGGGCATATCAATCGTACTAGAACGCATTCTACACCAGTTGCTAGACTTCGTCCCAGCACACCTCACTAATACGAATGAAGCCCTTGATGACATCCGCGATTTATTCCCAGATCTCAAAGCTCCAGAGGGGACAATTCTTGCCACTTTGGATGTCGTGGGCCTGTACCCGAGCATTCCAATTGAAGAGGGAGTCAAGGCAGTGGGAGAAATATTGGAACAGAATTTCAAAAGAATCAACATGTTCGGCCTTGACGTGTGCGAAGTCAAGGACTTGCTTCAATTCGTACTCAGTAACAATTTCTTCAGATTCGGGCGACAAATTTACCACCAGCTAGAGGGAGTTGAAATGGGCAATAATCTAGCACCACGATTCGGAATATTGCTCATGCACTCTCTGGAAACGCGCCTTCTTGCTGATTCACCGGTTCTGCCTGTGCTGTACAAACGGTACATTGATGATGTGATCATTCTCTGGACCCACGGTGAGAAACGCCTCTTGGAGCTAATACAGCACTTCAATGCAGGACACAACCGACTCAAGTTCACCTACGAGCTCAGCAGTAGCAAAGGCTGGATTGATTACATGGACGTGACGATTGCCATACAACAGTCGGGCCAGATGATGTACAAGCTCTTCCAAAAGCCATGCAATAGTGGATTGCTGATAGACTACGCATCTGCTGTGCCCCATCACATCAAACTTGCCGTTGCCAAGTCTCAATTCTTAAGAGCACAACGTCTGTCTTCCAATGACACCATGTGTAAGGAAAGTGAACAGAAAATTCAAGACCAACTTCAACTCAACCACTATCCAGAGAGCCTCATCATCAATGCCCGAGAAGCAGCAAGGAAACCCAAGCGTCGCCGCCGAGGTAATCCATGTTCTGCGTTTCTGAAGCTGCCATATAAGTCGGACAGGGTGCATCACAGCGTCAGCAAAGCTATCCGGAAGCACAAGTTACCAGTCCGGGTGGTTTACGAGCATGCGGGTAGCCTCAAACGTCAGCTCTGTCACTCAGCACAAAGTCCGCCCAGCTGCATTAAGGAGCCCAACATCAGAAAGACAAAGAGAAGAGGACGCCCAATGGGACCGTGTCTGACTTGTAAGTCGGGTGGAGTGAAAATATGTTTGAAGAAGAATGTGATATACCGGCTGCAATGCAAGTTGTGCAGGGAAAAATACATCGGAGAGACGGGTCGCACACTGGAGACGAGACTGGAGGAACACAACCGTGAAGCTCGTAGGCGCACTGTGGATAAGCCATGGGGTGACCACATGCGAGCTAAGCATGCAGGGATCAACCTAGGTGTCGGGGACAGCATCTTCTCGGCAGTGTCTGTGGTTGCAAGAGCCAGTGACAGGGCAAGCCGCAAATTGCGAGAGGCAGTGGAGATCAGAAACGAAGGCCCAGAGATCAACACCAGTGCTGGATGGTCATTACTCTAAAACAGTCACACCACACTGGCTATCTAGGTGACAGTATTTTCTGGAAACCACTGACATGGTCACATTCGTGTATTGCTTGCGAGAAACCTGTTCAGACATTTCTCAAGTTATCTGGTGACATCTGCGCTGTGCTAACTTATTAACCAACACCCAGCATATGAGTCAGTGAAAACTTGTGATCTTTCACTAGTTTTAGACATGTCATATTTCTAGCACTGAGGTAACATGTGCAGTCATAGAAATAATTAGTATCAACACCTACATGTAAGAACACCAAATTAGTGTATATAACTGCTCCTTGGCAGACTTCCACTTCATATTACATCCTGATGATGGCAATTTGCCGAAACGTTGAAAATGATTCTGTAAAATGAAATGAGTTGGGAATTTGCAGTGCCCAGGGAATGAGCATGTGTGCTCACCAATTCTCTTCGAGTTGTCTTCCCAGTAATCTTTATGCCCCATTACCCTGCCTGCCATTCACATTCGTTTCCTCCGTACTTTTAGATGTAATTCGGGGGTACTAATTCCTATTGCATAAGCGATGCTCGCC